ACTAAATACTGTGCCTTTCCAGGGCCCTCTGTTTAAATCTACTCTGTCCAACTACTGACTAACTGGGAAAGTTCCTGCAAATGGGTTTCCTTTACTGTCTTCAGGTCTTCATTTAGGGTCCCACAAAGCTTCTGTGACTCAACCAAGGAAGAAACTGTATTTTCCTGGAGTTCATGGAGATTGTTGCACAATATGCTCAGAAAACCATCTATTTCTCTTTTTTGATCTTCTATCTTTGAAGAAAAAAGTATTAGTTTCTTTTTGAAGCAACCTACCAAATTTGAGGTACTAAGAAGACAACATCTGTACCTTTTCAGCCATTGTCAATGAAGTCCTGAAAATATGCTGCAGTTGCCTATTGATGTTCAAGATGGAAACCACGCCAGGGGCTAAGATGGTCTTCAGGGAACCGAGAAGGTCAGTCTCAAGTCCATTCTGGGTTTTAAAACAAATGCATCCTTAAGAATGTTTTCATTTCCATTAACCTGGCTGACATATCTCAGGTACTTAGCAACCAAACACTGACATTCAAAATCCATAACTGACATTCTTTATAACCTAAAGAGACGTATCTGCACATCCAGCATATATTCTGCCTAAATCATTTAGTCCTGCTCCACTAACTAAAACAGTGTTCACTAAGTGTACAGTAAATGCTGAATTAATTTTCTCAAAATCAAAACGAAAAAAATTCTTTCAAAAGACAAGAAAGAGCCCAGCACATTCTAAGTGTCTTTAAGCATTTCCTTTCCAGGACCTCGCACACCACCCGGAATGCCTACCTTACTAAGTTCCTCTTCAAGGGCACCGATCTTTTCAGCCGACTCAACAATCTGTTCCTCCTGAACTGTTAATTTTCCATTCATGGCTCTAAAACAGTTTAATACAAATTTAACTGTTAATGCTTTGTTCTAAATCCTACAAAATTTAATCTAATTGTAACATTACAAAATTATGGCAGCTAATAAACTGATCTCCCTGCTTCACACCCCCATGTGATGGGGGGATAAATAGTAAAAACCAAATACAGCAAACAAATGCATCCTCTTTTTCCAAGATTTACTTGTTTTTAATTTATGGATGAGTGTTTTGCCTGCATGTAAGTCTGTGTACCACTTACATGCCTGGTGCCCATGGGACCAGAAGCGGGCATCAGATCCCATGCAACTAGAATCACAGTCAGTTGTAAGCCACCATGTTAGTGATGGGAATTAAACCTGGATCCTCTGGAAGAGCCAGAGGCTCAACAACTAAACCATCCCTCCAGGCCCTCAAATGAAACTGAGAATCTTTTTTTATGAGGGAAAGGCATGTGTGTGCAAATCCAATTTGAGAGGCAAAGGAGCAGTGACAGGGTACTTATCAGCAAGTACAAGAGGGACTCTGGATTTGGTCCCTAGCACTATGAAATACATGTAAAAATGAAACTTTGTGTTAAGAACATAGAAAACTGACAGAGCCTGGGCGGTGGTGAGGCACACCTTGAATCCCAGCACTTGTGAGGCAGAAAAAGGCAGATCTCTAAATTTGAGGCTAGCCTGGTCTATAGAGTAAGTTCCATGACAGCCAGGGTTATACAGAGAAACCCTGTCTCTAAAAAACAAAACAAGAAAAGAGAGAGGGGAAAGTAAGGCAAAGTAGAAATAGGGGAAGGGGTAATAAAGTGGCTGCAATCAGTGAATCCCTGATATGGAATATAAAGATGCCTCCCCATGCTGTAAGTGCTTAATACTTGAAGATATGAAACACAAGAAATGGGTGAAGAGATAAATGGATGAAAATCACCTAGAAGACTGAATCAAAGTATGTATATAGAACAGTATCAATTCTCAGTCCTCAGTAAGTATAGGGGATCTCACACACACACACACACACACACACACACACACACACACACACTCTTCTACTAGTACTAGGTGTTATTTAAACACCACCAGTATACTAGTACTGGGTCTCGTGAGATTCACTAGGGCAGAATTTCTCAGCTTCACAGTACAGGTGCTTTGTACAAGATATTTCTTTTCTGTGGGTTAGTGTTGGAGAATATTATTTTCAGGTGTGTTGCTTTTGTTTATGCTGCATTTGTTTAGTTCTGTGAAGCTGTGTTACTGTGCCTGTCTAAAACACCTGGTGGTCCTAATAAAGAGCTGAACGGCCAGTGGTGGGGCAGGAGCAAG